CAGGTTAAGCAACGTGCCATATTCAGTGTGCGTGGTCTGTTCCTCTAACGTCTAATTCTATACACAAATCCACAGTGGGACCATGGACCATTAAACTAATGGTACACTTTTCACAGTCTTTGAAGAACTGTATATAAAACTTGGCCTGTTCCTACTATTTTCTATTTAAGATTTATGCGTCATTTAAACTTTGAAGTGCATGTTTAAGATCCCACCGACAGAAGTAGCTGCGCAGGCAGTGACCTTTGTGGGCAAAGGAAACGGAGCAGCCTTTATCGAAACAAGAACAGGAAATGTTACACACAGATCGGGGGAGGGTGTAGAGCACTTGATCATGACTCTATAAAGTACTCTGAGGGCAGGGCAGTTAAATGTACATGTATGTGATTCAGTGAAAATTGATTGTAATTTGTAATTATATAATTTCTTTAACTTTCCCATTCCTAAGGTTGACCAGACTTGTATTTATAAACAAGCCCGTTTTTTTAACTCTTAGGGTTTGAGTTAGAATGATCTGTTTAAATCTGCCATGTTGTATCTGTGATGTATCCACTAAAAATAAGCACTGACATACTGTAAATTAAAATACTAATGCCACAAAAGTATGTTAATAAAGTTACTCAAAAGCTTCTGTAGTGTTATCTACTATTCCAATGATAGTAGGCAATGAATACACTTCAGCTTGCGTGTGAAGAAACCAGACTTGTTAATTCTGAACAAATTTACACTGATCAGACATTTCAAATACTTGATCACAGCAACTCATGGTCAACAATAAATCCAAGCAAAAGAAGAAATGTTATAGTAGTGTAATAGTTCTGCAGGAGTCTGAGGAGGTCTCGCATAGTTGGGGTCTCTAACTACTTTATTTACTGTAGAGTTAAGGGTTAATAGATTAATAAGAGTTATTAGAAAGGTTGGGACAAATATGTCCGTGTGGGTTAACCAGTTAGGTTTACAACGGTCTCTCACTTGTTAGGCAACACCTGGACAGCAGTCTCAAAGGAGCCCGGTCAGCTCACACTAAAGAGCAAAGCAGTAGGGGAGAAGCAAAGGTGAGCTCTTCCCATGGGCTAGCTCTGAAGGTAAAGAGCATGGACACGCCATCATAAGGTGAGGCGGAAAGTTTCCTGTGAGCAACTGAGAGGAACAAAGGTGTTAAAGTAGTTGGCAGACTTGGCTGTTGCTTTTTGGGGCCAGGGACACTTGTGAGGTAATCGTTTTGTGTCCATGGCCAAACAGGATTAGCTGAGAAGAGGTTGCACTGCTCTACTAAATCTTATCACAACAAGACTACCGTGCTGGTTATGGCTCACAGTGGTAGGAATGGTCATGGGTTAAGGGTTGTATGTGATCTTGTAATGGTTGAGATCACGTGAACATGTAAAAGGTTAGGGCTATGGGGTTAATGGTGTAGGTTACAATACTCTGGTCTCTGGGTTACGGCTTCATGTTTCTGAAAGGTGAGCACTACTCCCCATAGAACACTGAGATGCTCACTGAAGGCAGGGTGTCTGGTCCTGTAGTGGTTGTGATCTGGGAATTGGTTGGAGTCTTCAGGTTACAGTCTCCCAAGAGCAATGGGACAATCAATAGAACCCCAGCCACAGATCAGCTAGAACACCACAAATTGAGCTAACTGCGAAACCATGAGTCCCTGGCGAGGCGTGGAGAAAAA